TCGTATTCCGATTGCTAATGATTCGGGCATCACTAAATTATCGACACGTGAATCTCCAAGTACCAGTAACAGTAGCAAGTCACACCTTTATGTTCCTACTCCTAACTTTGAGAGATTCCTTAATATTTGGAGCCTTACTATTGGCTTCTTATTTTTGACATCCACTTTAGTTATTATTTCTAGTAGACAGATAAATTACAAAACCTATAGTTACTGCTCAACCATTGTCAACCACAAGTAACCTAAACTATCCTGCATCATAGTGAGTTCCTTCTAGTTCATGTATTATGAAGTTAACAAATTTTTACATCCCTTATTATCATTATCATTAATATTATTATTATCAACATTATTATGATTATTACTAAATAACATCCAAATATATTGCTTTCTTACTTATGTATCTTCCAACTCCTAAATTTTAAACATTATTTTTCTTCATATCTTTTTGCCGGCTGCCTACCCTTCCCATCTCTAAACTACCTATTTACCGACCGGCAACATAAAATTATACCATTAGTTAACTTATTATCAGTGTGATATTCGACACTGATATATAATCCACTATACAGAAGCTAAAGCCATCTGGTTTGCTTGTAATAGGTAAATAGTATAGACAGTGATTCCGACAATGTGTGCTGAAAATATTTTACAATTATATAAATTTACCCTGTATTGTCAAGGGCAATTTTACATTGGTTTTCAGGAGAACCAAAGAGACTGGACACGTTTTACCATAACTACATGAACAGTTCGGCTCAACCCTCTGGTGCGACCACACAGGTACCTGATACCTTGGTGGTGCTGAAAATATAGCTTGGACCAAAACATGTGTTGAAACATACCACAAACCTTAGACAGCCTAACATTAAAAATGGTTGAGGGTGAGGTATCGTGTCAGGAATCACAATGCTAAGGTGATAACCTCAATCCACCTGTCTGTGGGGTAGACCAACTTGCTGGCTTACGGCTCCCTACGATCTAACATGATGGTACTTTTCCATTATAACTAAGTCTTTCACCCGCGTTTGTAATTCTGAACTGGATTCATTTTCTACCGAGAAATTTCGTTACTAGCTGACCTTCTCAATTAAGGTGAGAGTGAGTTCACTCGTGACTTCATAATTTGTCTTTTACGAAGCCCATGATATTTCTGTCTGCAGTATGTCATCATGAACATCAATATGAACTTACCTCGTCAATGATTTATGTATTCAGGTCTAGACATTACCTGGTCCACTTCTTGACCATCACTTGTTTGTCGCAACACAACCGACATAATTAGCCCTATTTGTTGTGTTGTACAATCCAGTCTCTTAAACCGTTTTTAAAATATTATGTGCAGTATGTCAGCCCTCTATGTCTGTGACCAGTATATATTGTTGAGTATCTATCCAACCAAGCAACCTAGTACAGTGAGTTCATTGAAATATATAAAAATGTGATCTTGCCCCTAAACTGGCACGCCTACTGTAGCGCATATTTATTATTTATTATGATTAGTAGTAGTAACAGTTTCATCAATATTATTATTGTTGTCTGATTGCTTTGAAGTTAAGGGGCCGAGAATGCGTAAATGAGGCACTTCAGCTTTAGTTCAGCACGAAGAATGATCTCTGTAGTCACGTTTGATATGCCGAGAGCCAACTTAAACTGCTGCGACAACAACAGGGAGATAAAATAAAGCACATACTAATGTCAATTGGCCTTGATCGACAACCACACCACTAGACGCGAAGGTCGCGGTCTCTCCAATTCAAGGGAGCGTCCGCGGCCATCTTCTACAGAACTGGTCAACAAATTCTGATCAACTTATTTAAAAACTCTAGGATAGTTGTTGCTGCAGTGGTGCATCAGGTGATGAGAAAAACAGTTCATTGCTTCCGTAGCAGCACAAATGACTGGAGAGGAAGCTGGAAGAGAGGAGGAATACGTGCTCTCAAATGGGTCTGAAGATCATCTATTTAAGTGAAAGGTGGCGATCCCGCGATATTTCAAACAATGAAGTTAGCTTGGAAGGCATGACACTTTCCCGTCGCCATAGAGTTCATAAAACAGGAGGTGGAGTATCCATATACATGAGCATTCATTTCAAAGCTGTGACACCACACAGCATCCAACTAGCCGACTTGACAGAATCGTGCTATTGTTGCTTCTATACTAATGGTACAAAATACTTTTTTGAAGGGACACACCGTCCCCTCAGGTACTAAGGCCTAAACTGACATGTCAATTGAAGCAGTACAACTCTCACAGTTTCGTTTCAAGAGCTTTGTGGTAAATCCATCAGAATTTCCGGACTGAATGATCATGTATTTGACGCCACTAGATAGAGAGAGGACTGGAAACACTCAAACTTAGACTAGTTATTAAAAAAGACCAACTCCTAGTCAACAGTTTTCCGTGTTTGAACGCCAATAGGAAGTAGTTACTATGTCACAGTCATGTCTAACATGGTCACAAGCTAAATAATCAGGGGAGACGGAAACCTTAGATACACTTGGACAAACGACACGAGTGAGCATCTTCTACACTCTCCATGACCACGAGGATGGTGAAGGCAAACAGTAGGTGATCATTAGCTAACAGTGAGAGACATTAATCGGAATTTCATCGAACATGATATAAGTAGGGAAAATCACCCCCCTGGAAAGAAAAGAAATCGAATTAAGCAAGGCACTGAGCGCTAGCCAAAGGCGGAGCGGAGAGCCTGGCACAAGTGAAAAGTCTCTCTTGGAATTACGGAACGGATGCGATGCTAGAGATAGAAACGATAAGAGACACTTCCAGACGGTGCTAGTAGACAAAAAACTGGGGAATCTCAAATATCTATTTAGTTTCGTGGCTATAAAACAGAGTCTTTGCGTTTCCACGGGTCTAAAAGGCGAAGATCTTATCAACTCAGCGATGGTCAACAACCTTAATGACAACTTCACCGATTAGTTAAACCAGGCAATAACAAGCTCATTCGTAGGTAAGATTATCATCATGTTTAGATTCAAGCAGCATTATAAAGAGCGATCATCTAGGTAGTTATAAAGCGAACAGCTAGTATAAAACTCCACGAGACTGCATTTCCTAAAGGTGTGTAAGGTGAAATTTCGCTTGCAGCTCAACTAAAGACAGACAGTGAATGTAGACTGCATGGGCGGGAAGTGATGAGTTTGAATTTTCCTAAACTTTTAATTTTTCTAGTTCAGCGAAATAAATGATTTTTCACAAGATTCTAATCTGAAATCAAACTCCAATTTCACCCTCAGAGAGTTGTCTAAAGTCACCATCGACTAATATCTTAATTTATACGGAAACAGCATAGATTAGATGGTTGCGAGCTTGTCAAATATATTCTGTAGGGATTAGAACATTATAACTCAAGTTTATACTTACTTCCTTTATTTGTGTGAGCGTTAAATTTCAGATTATTACATGTGGAATGTCGAACAGTTTGTGTGTTTTAGTTATTACTCCTCTCTCCACTCGGCTGTTATGGATGATCAAACTCTTGAGAACAAATTTTTCTCCCACAGTGCTCGGTGCAGCCATAGATTTGTTATCCTCTAATCGTTAGTTCTTCAGTCACAAAGTTATTGCAAAAACAGGTTTTTGAGAAAGTTCATCAGACGACTGGAATTAGTTACTGAGGCACTAAAATCAGACATGAAAATAAGTGTGATGTTCTTTTTTTCCTTCAGAAGTATTTCAGAGGAAGAAGAAGTAATAAAAGATTGGAATTAGGGATACATCATCAAGATGCAGAAGTGAGAACTTTTTGAATGTGAGAACTACAGAAACATCATACTGCTGTCACAACCTTGGAAGGTCTTTAACAAAATGAAAACATCAAAACAATTCTATTCTATGGAGATAAAACTTGTAGAACTACTAAAATCATCCTTCAAAATATTCGGGTATTAATAAGAATTTGCCCAAGTAGGATAGTTTAGATCCTCTGAAGGACACCATCAGCAACAACCTAATGTGGCAGTGAACAAAACAACTTCCAGTCGAGGAAGAAATTCAGAAAAAACGCTGTAGGCGTATAGGATACGTTGTACAAATCACCAAACTTTGTTTCAAAGCAAAACCTTAACTTGGAGCCAATATGCAAAAGTATCGAACAACGCATTGATGGCGGACGGCAAAAAAATGAACAGCGCTTGGGAACAGCTGAGAGTAAGTGCCTATGACAGAGTTGGTCAGAGATAGTTGCCTATGCCGCACGAGCGGTAACAATCTCTTTATAATCTCTAGGTTATACGTGCCACCACTGTCAATTTATTATTTGCAAACATATTTTAGCGACAATAGAGCTGATAAGCGTTTTTCTTCGCTGAGAATTATACTTGAATTCGAAACCTGTGTTTGATAGTTTCCAATTACATGCATGAAAAATAATCACCAAATCTTCAATGTCACGTAGTCGTCATATATACTTTATTCATCACCAATCAATCTTAAGATGATTTCGCTTCATTTTATACCCAGTGCTTTAAAAACCTTTAATAACTTTCGTAGAATTCCATTTTGTTATGAGAATACTATGTTGAACTAAAAAACTTGTCTTACCTAGAGGCACCATCCTTTTTTAAATCAAATCTATTATTTCAAGACATTAGTAAAGTAATTTAGAATATCAGAGAATGAGATTCACTAATCACTCTTGAATATTTATTTGTTCAAACTACAATTCAACACATTATAGGCAATCTAAATGAAATATCATTTGTTTGTGTCTGAGTGTGTGTGTGTGTAGGTTTGTAGATTGTATTTTTACTTGTATGTATATGTGTGTATGTACATATGCTGCTTGTCCAGTACTTCAACATATGGAACTATAAACGGAAAATGTTATTCTCCTACAATAATTGTTTTTAAAAGTTTACAATTTAACAAAATTTTCATTCTTTAGCTATTTCTAGAAAAAAATGTCGGTAAAAACAAAAATTGTAGAAACACAGGTTTATTTTTTTTTAATTTTTCCTTCGTTGACAACTTCACAATTATTTCATCAATGACCAATGGAGAAAATCTTCACGACATACCAAATAAGGATCTAAATTTAAAGAGGAAAACATTAACCATTGAATAAAAACTAGTAAAATATATGAATTTAAAACAATCAGTGATAGAAGTGTTTAAACAGTGCTATTCATGGAATTTTATGAAATACGATAGTACAAAAGTATTTTCATTTTCATGTAGCGAATCTAAGACTATTGGTGATACTTCAGCCAATGAGTACTGTTGAATTTATTGAGAAGCAAATACTTCGGATCCGTTGGCCAGGCACCATTAACGACAGTCCACTGTGGGAGAGAACAAACCACATTCCAGCAGAGTAAGAAGCACTTGAAGTGGATAGGACACACATTGTAGAAAGCACTGAACTGCGTCACAAGATAAGCCACCACTTGGAACCTTCTAGGTTGAAGGAAAGGAGGGAGGCCAAGGAACACTTAAAACTGAGAAATGGACAAAACTTGAACAGAACTGGAAAGGGAAACCCTAGACGGAGTAGGTTGTAGAATTCTGGTCACCGGCCTATGCACGATTGGGGGTAACAGGAGTAAGTAATTAGTTTCCCTTCATCAAAAGCAAGTGTCTAATATAAGGAACACTAAGTTAGTAAATCAGATTTGTATTATCAGTCACTTTCTAGATGAATCAATGGCATATGTGTTGAGCTATTCGTGATAAATTTTAACTATTGACTTGTATGAGTTACATTGCAGTAAAGTGAAGAGGGAATTTCAATGTTATAAATTAATAAGTAACGAAGGAAAAAGAAAATCGTTCATTTAAAATAAAATTTGTACATAATAAGTAAATTAGCTCCATCTCACTTTTGTTCTTCCATAAAACTACATATGATTCAACAACAAGTTCGCGAGAAACATGATCAAGCCCATGTACTTCTTGAATCTGAATAAAGGAATTCAAAAATATGAGCAAGTTTGTTAGATTATATAATGTTGGGTCGGAAACAAGTAAATTAAGATTGTTGACAAAGAACTATCGTATTATAAAGTCATCAAGTTAAAGAAATAATAACAAAAAATAGTAGGGTTTTTGAAGGGATAACAAAATCCAACCCAACTTGTAATTTGTGGAAACTTTAGAATTTTCACATGAATTAATTTTAACTAGATTATCAGTGAAAACCTAGGAGAAGCTATTTAGTCCCTGTATGAGATTACTCCACTAATGACCGGGTTTAAGGAGTCACTGCTGATATTCTACTGCAAAACCATGTCGAGTGGAGTTCAACCCGTTCCAAAGCAGGCGATCGACAAGGATTACGTATTATTGGGAATCCTTCGAAGGTAAAAATTAACACTGTTTGATGTTAACTCAATGGTTATGATATGGGAGATACTGAGTTGGATTCCCGAATAGAGGATGGTGACTGAGCACCTCCACATACTGAAGCAAAACGGCTGTCCTGTGTTTCTACGATTTCAGTGGTGGTTTAGTGAAGATCACTTTATGATTAGCGACTACATAAAAATCATTCAAAAGCAAAGTTTTATTAACCAGTTAATATGGTTTTACAACTGACTACCCCTAATGTAAGTGCTCTCAAGATATATCTCCAAACAAAAGAGGGCTTATGAGCAACTAGACTTTCTTATCTTAAACAAAACAGGACTTACTCACAAAGTTATAATGTGTATGCATTTGAACAAAACATGCACCACTAACTTCGTCAGCATATTTCAAACATCAATTATGGATACAATCTATACATAATAATCATCGAAATATAAATCTATTATCTGAACTAACCACTGTGTGTATTATTCAATAACCTAACGACTTTTCATCAACATATTTCGAGTATTTCACTTTTTAACTTCATGTATTTCTATGTTTTAAACTTTCGATACAATGGATTTCTTTTAACTAATAAACCATTGGACATTTAAAATGTGTGTATAACAGATTTGCACCACTAGTTTAGGTGTGTAGATATTACATGATAAGCACCTTGTTGCTCATATCATAGTCTATAAATTATATCTGTGTACAAGCCAGTAAAGTAAATTCTTGCTTAAACAACAGTGTATTGTGTCGATTTTGAAATTGTAGCTGTAAAGTATTGGATTTTCAAGCCCTACCTGATTCCATATACTGGTTTTCCTGTAGCTAGGTTGTAATACTAACCGTCATCCATTGTTAACTCAGGTCATTCTATGGAAATTATATGACGTATACAAAAAATCGTTTCATGTCAATTTGTCAGATAGAATTAAAGTCCGCAGAAACACATGTGACACAGATAAGGTGAACAGATACTAAAAGATTGATGTTATAAGACCCACTTTAGGAACTTACTTGTCTGTAATTTTTGTTCATCGCTTTGACGACAAGATCATTTGACCTAACAGATCCATTGAACAATAGTTTCAGAACGCTTGAATCAAATACGCCAAGAACACGAATTCTGTAGGAAAGAAAAACAGAATTAGCTTTAAAAAAAATTTAAATTACAATATTCAAGGTACATTACAAGTCTTTACAATACGATCGGCCATAACCTTAATAAGAGTAGTTTATTTTTGTGGTAGGAAAGGCATACTGAATTAAGATGACATCTCGACCAGTTTTATTCATAGAGTGGTAGAGATTGTTGGATTTTGTTGAATTCATAGATCGATGAATGCCAGACCACCACTGAAAACCTTGGAGCACTGGACGGCTGTTTCGTCCTTGTATGGGACTTATCAGCGGTAGGCATCGATAACCACGAGAGTGGGATCACTTACTCTTACCAAGACAATATCAGAAATTCTTTCAAATTCAAAAAGGAGAACTAAATGTTGTATAAAAGTGATTGATAAAATGACTTTTATACAGACAAAATATTGTTGGGGACGTTAGATCTCCAGAACTCACATACAAAAGGTCCTAATTTTGGATTTTTTATGTTTTCACGCATAGCCTGCTTAGTTTACCTACAGATTACATTTCCGATCCGGAAAATCCTTGACTGTCATTGGTTGATGGATTATTTTAGTATGCTATTTTTGTGGCTCTCCCTAGGACGTTTCTATCATGTTTAAATAGGCTCGACTTGTGTGCTTGTCGACCTCTTATTTCTGAGTGCATGCAGAATACACTTTCTACGCTATATCAAGACTTCTTGATATAGTTAGCCGGACCAGGGACAATGGATTAGAACAAACTATCGTGTCACTGCATCATTTGTCTTCGCTCTCGTTTATCGAGTAAGGTGAACTCGTTATAGTTTCAAGCATTTCAATTGACGAACATATCAAATATATAATGACCGTTCTAATGGTATTCAATAGTTCCAATTTTTTCACTCAACAAGCTTAATGTTCTGAATGCTGTTAATCAAGATTTCATGATTCAATACTCAAATAATGTTTAGTTTATATCGGTCATTCAAACTAAAAGAAATCCCTTAAATGAAAATCTTCAATAACATAAGAGTGATATAGAAAATTATCACAATCAGGTCATATGAGACATTATTAACCGATGGTTAGAGACCTCGAAGGAGATGGCTCAAAATTGTTTGCAATGGCACTGGTGCCTACATTCTTTGTGTTCTCAAATTCTAATCTTCTTAATTCTTCATCACCTTTATCTTTCTCTTTCTAAACTTAATTTACTGAATTGTACTTCCCAAGTAATTTCTTCAGAACCTAATCTTCTCTATTACCGCTAATTCTTCTACTATCTCTATCACTATGGGATTTGAATTGACAATTGCATCTCTCTGCTAATGTGGCATGACAACTTCAATTGATATACGTACTTACGAAGTTACACGTTGTAACTGACTGACTGACGTTCAATTCAAGTTGATTAAACATACTATGATGATAAGATAAAATTAATCCGTACTACAAACAGTTTTCTTCATATATTTAAAACATGTTTTGAATACAGAAATGAACGATATCAATGAATTAATCTGACAATAGGTTACATTCATATATAAAACCATAGGTGAAGCACTTACTCTTCTCCTTCATTTTCTATCACCAACAATGCTCTTACATTCTTAGTTTTAATTAAATCCGATGCTTGTTTTATTGTATATTCACTAGTGATTTTGACAGTTTCCGGTAGACCAACAATTAATTCATCCAGTTTAGCATTAATCCAACTTAAGAAAAAATAAATAGATATTACAAAATAAAAATAAAACAGTAACATTGATCACATTTCAAAGGTATCTCTGAAGCATTGCTAGTTTTTCTTGGGACTCACGAGAAAGCAATGCAGTTGTTAGGAAATGAATACTTGGTAAGGACAGCAAATCAATAGTTGAAGTATTGAAAATTCGTCAGTTGAGGTGGTTGGGACCTGTGTTACATATGCCGAACTGCTGACTGCCTTGATAGGCAGTGTTTTGTAGTGTAGGAGCAGGTTGGAAGAAAGCTAATGGTGTCCAAACCAAAACATGGCATAAATCCATGAAGTCACTGATAACTGGATTAAGCCATGTTAGTAAGTGTAGACTGGTTTGGGTCCGCGAGATGATAGTATCCGATGACTACAGACTTTGAATGACATGACTCGAAATTGTTCCTCAATGGCGCAGGTGCATCCACTCTTTGTGCTCTCTGAAATTCTAATCTTCTGAAATCCTCGTAACCTTTATCCTTCTCTTTTTAAGCTTACTTCACTAGATAATTCAAACCCTAATCTCACTGCTCATATTTCTACTACCTCTACTACGATCGCGTCTCTGTACTAATGTAGTATGTCAAATTGAAATGACTGAACATTGATCAAATTGAGAATACTTCGGAGAAATAAAAAACATTTTACATACATATTCATGTTATTTATCACAATTGTAACATATGATCTAAAACCGTTGAATTCAATATAGAGTTGAAAGTTTAATTTCGAGAACTGTTGCAAACATTAGATGATTGACAATAGGATACAAGCTTAATAAACTGAATAGGAAAATGGTTTATTGACTGAAAATTTAAAACGATTGTATTTAAATATCGAAACATTATGGTAGAGTTTATATCGAATATTTAAAATGTAGATAGCACTGGAATCCAGAAAATGCGTTTTATACTATTTCGGACTTTTCATCTGCTAGCCACATTCTATCTATGCTATACAAACTTTTGTCATAATGGACGTATCAAGGCAATCCGTTTAAGAGGATGTCAATATGGCCAATAAAGACTGATCAATTTTCAATCATCATATCAACAACAGGACAATGTAAACCAGTTCAAATTGAATTAAGTGCCAATTTTGAAATTTAACAACTATTAACAAACACCAAAGCCAGAATTTTCAATACAAATGTCAAGACATTTCTGCTGTGAAACTCGGATAACCAAATGTTGATTAATAACAGTTGTGTACGCAAAGTACATCCGATCAACTGGCCAGACACCATTAGCAACAACCTACAGTGGGAGAGGACAAACCAGATTCCAGTGAAGGAGGAAATTAGGAAGAATCGGTAGAAGCGCATAGGACTCACTGTGGAAATCTTCCTACTGCGTCACAAGACAAGCCCTCACTTGGAACCCTCAACGACAAAGGAAAAGAGGAAGACCAAGGAACATATTACGTCGATAAATGGAGATAGACATGAGAAGAATGAGCAAAAATTGAATAGAACTAGAAAGGGAAGTCTAGGACACAGTAGATTGGAGAATGCTGGTTGGCGGCTTATGCTACGTTGAGGGGTATCAGGCACAAGTAAGAAAGTTAATTCTGAAACTGAGAAAATGTTTGCAATATTCTGTTTTTAAGTTTACGTATACAAGACAATATATAGTAATTCAACTCGTTTTTTAAAATTTTCACAGCGTTTTTTAAAAAATAAAAAGAACATTATTTTTTAATGAAAGTCTTTTTTAGCAATCGCTTTTATAAACAATTGTGATGTATATGCCTCGAATAACCTTGTAAACAAATCATTTGTGGTTAATTGATTTACAGAATTTAATATGCATATATAAGATTTGTAAATGATTCATTAAATCCGTTTGCCAGTGATCTTCTCATATACAATGGATTTAATTTTTGAAAATACAAATTCAATTGGATTAAGCATATAACTTATAAGAGGACAAAAACATAACCTTTACTCCCTTTGCATCAAAAAAAGTTTCGGCAATATTGGAATTATGGATCCTTGCATTATCAAGGATAAAAAATTGATTTTTGATTGCATTTTTCAATCAATTGATCAAAAAAATGAATGAGCTTATCGAAGTTCACTGAACCAAAAACATGTTTGAGCAAAACGAACTTCATTTTCTGTTATTGCAGATATTATCAAATTAACATTAGTTCCGAGTGTTAACGGAACCATGACACTTGCTAGTTCTCCTCTTATGTATAAATCTTCCTAAAGTTCTTCTCGAATACAAATTAAAAGATGATTCATCAATAAAAACTTATGAAGGAGTCTTCGATATTCAGAAAATCTGTCATTTAATTTTACTTGATTCTAAATTGATATTAGTCGATGTATACGGACATTTTAAGGATTATAAAAAATTTTAAAAAACGCTGTGAAAATTTTAAAAATGAAATTTCATACTGTACTTCTTTATTCATATCGTCTATTTTATATTTATGTAGAATTTTTCTACTTTATCAATAAAGAATTTATGATTTAATTACTAGTATTTTTAAAAATATCAACTTACTTATTTCGAAATGTATTACCAAGGGGGAAATTCATGTATCCTCGACTAAACATCCAATCGTTTGATAGAAATTTAGACCTACATTAGAAATTGGAATGAAAGTAGAGCTGTATACAAAATATATGAAACATTTTAATGAAATTGTATTTGACAAATCCAAGTTAATCAACTGTAAACCAATAGAAAAAAAATTTAACCCGTTACATAGTATATCTATAACTCTACTTGGAGCCTTTCTGAGGTTACTGTCGGTTTCAAGCCTGGATAAAGCAGGAAGGTTGGACTTAGGGGTTAACGACCGCATCCCTTAGAAATCCAACTCGCTAAAATAAACGCTAACCAGAAAAATTAATTGGCTGGTCGGTGGCCTATGCTTCGTTAAAGGTAAAAGGCGTAAGTTAGTAAGTAAGTTTATTGATCAATGTATGGGACATTAAATTGTAAGTTGTTGCATAGGGGCAATTATATATTGTCTACAAAGAAGCTGTATGTACTATTCAGTGAAACAGTTTGTAGATATGATGTTCTGCTTTAATTTAAAACTATCAATCGTAATAAGAGATAGAATATACGTTTAAAAATATTATGTCGATATTTCACCAAGGTACTAACACCTAAGTCAGAATTTTCAATACAAATGTTAAGACAGTTTTATTGTATAGGGAGGATTCTTGGAGAATTACAAAAGCTATCATCCACAAGATATAAGTACTTATTAAAAGTTGTCCACGCAAAATACTTCGGATTCGTTGGCCAGACACCATCAGCAACAAAGTACTGTGGGAGAGGACAAACCAGATTCCAGTGGAGTAGGAAATCAGGAAGAAGTGGTGGAAGTGCATTGGATACACATTGCGTAAAGTACCCAACTGCGTCACAAGGCAAGCCCTGAACTGGAATCCTCAACGAAAATGGAAAAGAGGATGGCTAAGGAATACATTACGTCAAGAAATGGAGACGGACATGAGAAGAATGACGAACAAGTGGAAAGAGCTTGAAACGAAGACCCAGGACGGAGTAAGGGGTAGAATGATGGTCGGCGGCTTATGCTCAGCTCTGAGTAACGGGCCTGATTACACCAAGGTAGTAAAATGTGAATAAATTTCAGACAATAATAATCAACTGTTTTTCCTTTTTCAAATTAAACACATATATATTAGTTTGGAGATACAAAATTTATGTTGACATTGTCAGATTTTACCAGTTGACAAGTTGTCTGTTACGTAAATATGTCATTTGAGATGCTTGAACTATTGCGAGTTTACCTTAGTCGGAGCGAGGTTAGAGGATACAGCGACATGACATGCTACTCAAATCCGATTGAGTGAAAGAAGACTTTATACGAAGTAGAACGTGTAATCTACAAACATCCAGAAAGTACGAGGCCCGAGTCCAGAAGAGGATCTGGACCCCGGACTAGGGATCCGAGTCCGGGTCTGAGTCACAAAACATTACAGGTAATGTATATTTATACATTTAGATCGAATAGGAACAGCATCGAAGTCTGTGACACTGGCAATTAAGGCGACCAATAGGAAGAAACATTTAAAGTGACATTAATAGTCAGGATGACCAATAAGAAACAACACTGAAGTAGGTGACATTGATATCTAGGACGACCATAAAATTGACCAGTAAAAATTAACCAATGGGAATTGACCAATAATTCTCTTAGGATATTGGATGAATATGCTAACACTGTCCAACCAATAATAATGGACATATTACCATTAACATGATTCTTATTTTTGTGAGTTTTCAGCTTAGTTCCACTAACAAATAATATTGAAGTCCTAAAATAATGTAAGACATGTTATAATACATTAGTAATCATTGAACATCCAAATTATGCAGTTCAAACAAAAATTTTCACAAAACATAAAGCATAACTTACATATAATTACGTACACTATCAGGTAGAATAACCACAATTCGACTACCTTTTCCCAAACCTAGTTGTTTGATAATTTTGACAGCACCAACTACAGCAGCACCAGAACTACCTCCTTTATTTAAAAAAAATTAATAATAGAAAAAAGTCAGTTAACCATTAGTATTGTAGTGAAGGAGAACACAGGTGGGGCAACCAAAGTGCATTTAACGAAAATTACAGAGTTACTCAGTAAAATTGGAAAACCGTATCATCCATCATATCGAACTGGACTGTTCCTGTTGCAAAACATCAATCCATTGTCATTATTCATGCGTTTCATACAAATTCCATTGTGTTCTAACTCTTCCTTTCTTGATCTTCCCCCATCTTCTGCTGCCAGACATTATGTTGACACTCACGTCATATACTACTTATATGTAGCTCGCACCACACTCGTCCCCCCTTTTAATAAGTTGTCGTCGTAGTCTTTCTGTTTCCCGTACCGTTATCATCTTTGGTGCTTTTCGTGACTCATACACTTGATAATCTTAAACCGATCTCTGCAGTTGACTGGCATTTACGCGCTTCTTCTTGTCTTCTCTCCGTAAGCCCGTTTATCTGCGGATGATACGGTGTAGTTCATATCCTCTTGACACCAAACTGCTTTATACAGCTTTAAGCTTGTCACATTCAAAACAGGTACCCTGGTCAGTTAATATCACCTACCGTATTCCGTGACACGCTACAATATGCCGGATTACCACTTGGGTCATTGTTCTTGCCCGCTCGTCTGCAATGGATTCAGCATCTATCCAGCGTGTAGCGTTTACTAGTCCCTGCTGCTAGGACACGGCGGCAGGCACACCCTCGATAAATGGCGACGCCGACAACTGTGCCTCCGACTCCTCATCGATATTCGGCAGAGCACGGTGCAGCAACATCGTGAGCTCCACAGCTAGCACCAACGGGTGACCACCAGCAGACAGCCTCGCCCACCGTAACCTCTGCGGCGCCTCCCCCCTGTCCACCGGGCTGTCGAACTCCGTCATCAGCCGCCCGGCGACCGTCTCCCACGCCGTCTTCCCGGCAGTACCGTCCAGGCTGTCGTACACCGCCTTCGCCTCACCTCCTCGCAGCGTCCCCAGCACCGCTAACTCCGCCCCGGGCCCCTTCACACCCACCAGCTCCACCGAGGCCTCAGACTTCTCCAGGAAGCCCCGCAAATCTCCGTCCTTCAACCCCTTCGGCCACGGGAGCTCCTTCCTTCGAGTAGGCAGCGACACCAAATGTAGTGAAGGAGAACACAGGTGGGGCAACCGAATTGCATTAAACGAAAATTACAGAGTTACTCAGTAAAATTGGAAAACCATATCGTAAATCGTTCATTTGCAAATTATCAGTCCATCATGTCAAACTGGACTGTTCCTGTTGCAAAACATTAATCCATTGTCATTATTCATGCGTTTCATACAAATTCCATTGTGTTCTAACTCTTCCTTTCTTGATCTTCCCCCATCTTCTGCTACCAGACATTATGTTGACACTCACGTCATATACTACTTATAAGTAGCTCGCACCACAGTATGTATTGACAGATGAGTAAATAGTGACTGATATCGTATTTGTCCAGCTCCCAGTACTAGTCAACCACTGTCTATTAAGTGTGTTAGTATGACCAATGATCTAGATAACTTACTCACTTACGCCTTTTACCCACTAATGCAGCATCCTCTGCCAACCAACATTCTCCAACCTACTCCGTTCTGGGACTTCCTTTCCACTTCTATCCAACTTTTGTCCATTCTTTTCATGTCTGTCTTCATTTCTCGACGTAATGTGTTCCTTGGTCTTCTTCTTTTCCTCTGACTTCCAGGGTTCGAAGTGAGGGTTTGTATTTTGATGCAGTCAGGTGCTTTTCTCAGTGAGTCCTATCCACTTCTACCGATTCTTCCTGATTTCTTCCTCCTCTGGAATCTGGTTTGTTCTGTCCCACAATAGGCTGAATCCAAATAACTACGCACTACTAGGTTGAACCATATTTTTATGTTAAGAGTTTTGACATAGTCAAAGGAAATTTATCGACCAAACTTAGTTGTTATTTAAATAACCACACGGAAACCTCTCAGAGTGTAACACTGAACGATACGATTCAAACTTCAAATAGAGAAAGAGCTAGTTAACTGATAAGTGACTACAGATATTCCTGGCTGACCAATACCGACGAACATGAGACGTAAATCTAGGATTTTATGCTGACTAACTTCAGTGGGGTTATACTAACAATCGGATCAAAAAACACTTCCAAATAATCTACAAATTCATAACAAACAACAAGTCAGTATGCTAGAAGATTCCTCTTATTTATATTTATGTTTAACAACTAAAAATATCACTTACTTGAATACATCAACACTGATATAAAAATATTTTAAAACGGTTATGACTGTTTTTGACCTAACAAGATTTTGATAAATAAACAACCACAAAAGTACCGAGAACGATGACATTTTCTAAACTGATAAGCATGAAAATTAAATTTAACAATAATCAAGCATTGAAAAGAGAAAATAGTAGTTCTGTCAAAAAGAAGCACTGAAATAATTTAGGTTTCTCATTGTCTGTATTTATCCCCTTAAGACTTTAAACTAAATGAATGAAGGTTTGTGGTGGCCGATGTCTCACCAGTTTTGTGGCGGTTGGTATTCGGTATGTTTTCAGACTTCGTATACTACTCTTCCTGACAACCCTAACCAAGTAACGCCCAACGGTGTGCAGATCGAAAGACCAATACGAAGCTTTTAATGCGTTTATTGTTGCACCACAAGCAGACCATCAAAATCACAGGCATATGGAGCAAATTAATATGCGAGTACCGAAGAGCAAGCAAGTGAAGTAGTGAATGAATGAAACGGATTACAATAGGAAAACGAATGAGACATGGGATTATTTCTCGGGCTAACATTAAAGCGAATAGAATGAATTTGCATATAGGCGGTAAGGAATGTTCCGACGTACCAGCTCATACAGACTAGACAATAATAAAAGCCAATGGCATATATAAGTTGTTGCAACACGAATGACTCAGTTCAATGAGTTAATCAAAAAGACTTAACCATATTAGATGTGAGCAAACTCCAATGTTTGTGAGTTACTACAACAGCTCCTCCCATTAAACAGGGTCTTAGGACAGGAAGATTTATTAATTAAAAATATTAAACAGTTGACTCCCAAACTATTTGTTTCTGCACACATGGAAGCTGATCAACTGTTTATCATTAATTTTAAATTCATTATAGGATCAAGGTCATGTGTCCATCTACCAATTTTACTGATATTGGTTCTCTGAATTATTCCACTGATTTTTAGGATTTCCCTTGATCTCGGAGTGAAGATCGTTCTTTGGGATCTAGGCATGTCCTACTGATGAATTCCAGTTAGGAAGAAGCACGCATCGTAGACTGAACTACTAACCAGTATGCAATTCTGCCTAAAATCATATACTGTGTTTTGGTTAATAAGGATTACAATAATCAATATTTAGAGTCAATTGAGTCAGTCAGTCAGTCAGATGCAACGTAGAACTTCGTACGTAAGTACATCAGTTCATGTTACCATACCACATCAGCACAGAGATGTAATTGTTAATTCAAATCCAATAGTAGAAGAGGTAGTAAAAGTATTAGAAGTAATCGGAGAGGTTAGGATTAGAAGATATTATTCAAGAAGTATGATTAAATGAGAAAAGGTTAGAAAGTCAAAACTAGAGGGGTTGAATAATCCAGAAGGTTAGAATTTGAGAGAACACAAAGAATAAATGCACCGGCGCCATTGCAAACGATTTTGAGCCATGTCATTCAAAGTCTCTAACCACCGATTATTAACATCTCGCAGACCCCAACCAGGTAGTCAATTGAACAAGTTAGTAATACATCAGGATCGATAAAACATTAATAACTCTATGTGATTAGCAGCTTATTTCAAGAATAAGTAAATAAGTAGTGTGAAGACAACTGAAATAGGAAGAATCGATATTCGTTACACATATATATTAAATGATAAAAAAAAGCCATAAAAGTTTATGATTTAAACTAAACTGTATCAGCATCATTTTAAGAGAAGAGTTGAATAGTGGTTAGAAATAAAAACCAGGATATGTATGTTGTTTTGTTTGGGACTTGTTTAACCAGATGTAACAGCACTCCATTGTTGACAGTCACACTAGGGACTTTGAACTACAAATGCGTCAGCCTATTAATTAATGAGTACAATAAGCCACTAGTTTGTGCAGAGCGGTGAATTTTTATTCATTTCAGTTTAAGTAATATGATAATTTCAAAATCCAAATGAATTCGCTACATGTTGCGGCTTCCTTGTAAATTCATACAAGCACTGTGGATGGTATACTTCTTACTTACTTACTTACGCCTGTTACTCCCAATCGAGCATAGGCCACACACCAGTTTTCTCCAACCAACTCTGTCCTGGGCTTCCCTCTCCAGTTCTGTCCAATGTTTGTTCATTCCTCTCATATCTTTCTCTATTTCTCGGCGTAATGTGTTCCTTGGCCTTCCTCTTTTCCTTTTACCTTGAGGGTTCCATGTGAGGGCTTGTCTCGTGACGCAGTTAGGTGCTTTCCGCAATGTGTGTCCTATCCACTTCTACCGCTTCTTCCTGATTTCCTCATCCACTGGAACCTGGTTCGTTCTCTCCCACAGTTCGTTGTTGCTGATGGTGTCTGGCCAACGAATACGAAGTATTTTGCGTAGACAGCTGTTCATAAACACTTGTATCTTCTGGATGATGGCTTTGGTAGTTCACCATGTTTCCGCTCCATACAGTAGAACTGTCTTGACATTTGTATTGAATATCCTGATTTTGGTTTTGATTGAAAGGTGTTTGGAGTTCCGGATATTTTTCAACTGTAAAAATGCAGCCCTTGCTTTGCCAATCCGTGCCCTCACATATGCATCGGATCCACCTTGATTGTCGATGATGCTGCCAAGATATGTAAATGGTATACTTCAACGGAACGAATACTTATCCAGACACTTTAAAACTATTTGAATCATTATTTAATAATGAAAAGTGAAAATTCAAATGTAAACTAGTAGTTTTGCGGAATCAATTCTACAGCTAGGTAAGTTTTAAAGTTGATTGAATTAATTTTTGATTTGTTAGATTGTCTAACTTTTGTAACAACGATGTCGTTGAATTTAAAGTAACTGAATACACCAGGTTCAGTGCGCTGAATAGGTTTACAACCAGATTATGTTTAACTTACTTTTAATAGCCTATTACATTTGTTTATTAAATAGTGTAGTTTAAAACATTTTCCGGGAAAAAATATCGATTAGATAATCATAGTATTTAGTGATTTGATAAACATGAATTAGTGACTTATGAACAGAATGTGTGGAACACCTTATTAAAATGTAATTGTAATTGATAGTTGAACTAACTCAAATTTAAAGTATTCAACTGAAGTGCTATTATGGAAGTGAAAATAGGCTAGTTTTTCAAGAATTAATAACAGCAGTCACAGTTATTTAGTCAAAACCTAGCTTCTTGTTCTATTTACCAGATATTGACAAGATTTTCGTTTGGTTAAATATCTTTGAATAGTAAACCTACCAGAGATTATACTTATCAAACAATCTTGTAAATGTAAGAATCAGTTATCTTGAGGTTTGAGTTTTTGACAAACACTGTAGTAAATATGTTTGTCAGCAACTTTTGATAACATTAACAATAATGATAATTGGTGATATTCAAATAAGCATTCAGTTAGTCAGCAACAACGTAGAACTTCAGACGTACAGTACATCTTTTCAAGTTGTTATACCACAGGTCAAATTGTCAATTGAAATTCTACGGTGGTAGACGCAGTTGAAGTATTAACGGTAATGGAGAAAAAACGAGTTCAAAGATATTATTCAAGAGGTATAATTCAGTGAAATAAATTATAAAAGACAAGGAAAGGTTATGAGGAATTCAGGAGATTAGAATTTGATAGAAGACAATGAATGGATGCACCTGCGCCATCGGTGACTTTCATTTCGTGGACCCTAACCAGGTAGCCTACATCTAGCAACATGACTCAGTCCACTTGTCCATCACTTCATGGGTTTCTACGATGTTTTGGTTTAGCAGCCCCTAACTTTCTTCCAACCTACTCCTACACCACAAAATATCGCTCGAAGAGGCAGTCGGTGATTAGGCATACGTAACACATATCCCAAACATCTCAAATGACGAAGTGGCAATACTTAATCTACTGATCTCCTATCCATTCTTAGTAACTATTCCCTTACAACAGTATTGCTTATTCGACTGTCCCATAATATACGAGCAATCCTTCGAAGAAATCTATAATCGAATACTAATAGCCTAAGAATAGCCCCTTCTCTTACTGGCCATGTTTCAAATCTGTAAAATGGAACGAAGCAAGCTGCTACGCAGTAAACTTGTCCATTGCCAATGAGTGGAAATTCATATTTCCAATGTTGCATGACTTAACGCAAATCGCTTCTTCAGAAAAATCAATAAATAAATAATAAGCGTAGTTTTATCTTCAGTTAATATACTAATCAATTATACTTATCTATTATTATCCTTTGTTGTTATTTGTATAATTTATTTGACTAGTTTATTACAACTATTGTATACTTTATTCTTAGTTTTCATAATGTTCCTATTATCTAATCACATATAAATTTATCATCATACCACACACAGTATTCTTCACCTTTTCCGGTTTTCAAGTAATAATTCACTATTATATCTATAAAATAGTTTGTTAATGTCATTCATTATGAATCTGTATGTCAATTGAATAAGTTAACATAAATTGAATAAGTGTTTACATGAAATTATCATGACAGATTCATAGCCAAACTTTTAAGAGTATCTATAAATTTATATTTATATATATATATGTACACTATTTTGTCATATATTCGCGAATACTTATATTTGATTACGTATTTGAAAAAGAATTTCACAAGTACACACCAAATCGAAATGTACAATCAGTGAGTTTAATGTTGATAACGGGAACTATTAGTCAGCTGTTAAAAAAATGTTCATAGTCTAATTTTGTCTGACATTTCTATTGATTAGATTGTTGAACAGACAGGTACAACACAGAACTTCATACGTACATAAATCAGTTCAGGTTGCCATACCACATTAGCACAGAGACGTAACTGTCAGTTCAAATCCAATAGTGGTGAAGATAGTAGAACAATAAGTGGTAAAAGAGAATATTAGGGATCGAAGATACTATTGAAGAAGTATAGTTTGGTGAGATAACTTTAGAAAGAGAAAGATAGAGATGATGAGGAATTCAGAAGGTTAGAATTTGAGAGAACACAAAGAAAGGATGCACCTACGCCATTGCAAACGATTTTGAGCCATGTCGTTCAACGTCCCTAACCATTGGTGACTTTCGCCTCGCGGACCCCAACCAGGTAGTCTACACCTGCCAACACGGCTCAGTCCACTTGCTAGTGATTTGATGGATTTGTGCCATGTTTTGGTTTGGTTGCCCCTAGCTTTCTTCCAACACCACAAAACATAGCTCATCGAGGCAGTCGGTTGTCGGGCATGCGTAACACATGTCCTAACCACCTCAACTGATGAAGTTTCAATGATTCACCAACTGATCTGCCACCCTTAACTAGCACTCGTTTCCTAACGACAGCATTGCTTACTCAGTTGTCCCAGGATATACACGCAATTCTTTGGAGACACCTATGATCGAATACTAGTAACTTACGAATATCTTCTACTCTCACTGGCCATATTTCACAGCCATAAAGTAAGACGGAGCGAACCACTGCACAGTACACTCGTCCTTTAGTCAGCAAACGGATATCTCGCCTACGCCATAAGTGACGCAGGTTGGCAAAAGCCAATCGAGCCTTCTGTATCCGTGCTGAGATTTCGTCAGTCACCAGGCCGTCAGCACTGATGAGACTATCGAGATAAGTGAAGCAGTCAACACGCTTAACTACTTCACTCCCTATCACTAGTTCAGGTGCCGAAGCAAGCCAATCTTGAAGCAACATTTTGCATTTCGAGGGTGAGAATCGCATCCCGAACATGCTCGCATTGTTGCTTATGGTAGTCAGAAGACTCTGCATTTTGTCAGCGTCTTCACCGAATAGAACTATGTCATCAGCATATTCTAAGTCAGCAAGCGTGTCTCCTGGTAAAAGGTCCACTTCTGAAGAGTCTGACGATGATAATGTTGACTCTACAAGCATATCTATGACAAAGTTAAACAAGAATGGAGAGAGTGTTCAGCCCTGACAGACACCACTTGAAGTAACTAATTCCGATGACAGTTCACCATAAGCTCTCACTCGATCAGTGATGTTTGAGTAAAGAGCCTGTATAAGGTTAATGTAATTCTTTGGTACACCTTTTAATGACAGACGCTATTAGATTAATTAAACAATTAGATTGTTCAAATAGATAATGAAAGCTTTATTATTGAACTAATCAACTCATGGAATGCCAATTCATTAAAATCTAAAATATTTCAAATCTAGATGTTGATATAATGAACTGAAATTATAATCATATCGTGTTTACCAACGAAAATACTAGTAAGACAATAATAGACTATTTGTGATTGCATCATATTTAAAACTGCCATATGAGATTTAAAAAGTTGAATAGGTGAACTCTGTCAAAATGTTTTGTTTTAATAGACCACTAGGAGAAGAAAATTGAATTTAACCGACCGCGTATATTTATGATTCAAATTTTCAAAAAATATTGTTTATCGAGTTGATGGTAAATGTATGTAACTGAATACCTATTATATATTGAGATTCTTTCTAGCGGCTAACAGATTAATTCCTCTTACGCCTACTGACTTAACAAAACGATGACTTTCGTACAACTTCAGGACGAAAGACTTCTGTTTATTTTCCGACGCAGATATAAATGAGAAGTTCACATACTTTTCCTATATCTGGATGTAGAGTTTGTTTAAAAAACCTATTACTAACAATATATTTAATAGGGAGATTATGCAGACAAATTCATTTTTTCGTTTTCAACCGATTGAGACTGGCGACAGTAATGTATTTCTGTCAGTTTGCCACGTACATCCAAGATCTTTTGGCATGAACACTTACATTTTTCATTCTAGTACATTTTCTGTTATTGTTTTATATATTGGGCTCTAATTTATTCTTAGTCTCAGTTGTCTATCTAAATTGAAATGTATTAGTCAGAGATTTATCAAGAGATAAGAAGTGCAAGAAAGTGTTTTTAGATCGTGGAGAAAATTTGTAGCTCCGATGGATTATTATGATGGAGTTTCACTCTCTGAGCTGGATGTTGTGATTGTGAAGCTTCCATTATTCTTCTGAACAACATCATCAGCATAAACTTTAGGGAGGAGTGAAGACAGAAGTGATGATGATGTTGTTCAGAAGAACAATGAAAGCTCCACAATCAAAACATCCAGCTCAGAGAGTGAAACTCTACACCGAAACTGATGAAATAATATAAATTTGTAAATGATAAAATGTAAACAAACGTTTAACATACCACATGGTAAACCTTCATCATGTATAAGTCGCCTTGCCATTTCAAAAGATTCATGATCATCTGTCTTACACCATTTATCAATTCCATTTGTATCCAGTACAGTAGGGAAAAAATCATATCCAATACCTTCAACATCATATGGAGTTGTTTCTCGACATTCTGGATTAGCTAATATAGAACCAATTGGATCCACTCCAACAATCTACAATAAGTAATTAAGTTAGAGGCTTCAATAAAAGAATGCATCACATAAAAGCTGAAAAATAACAAATAAACCGTGAAATTAACTCAAAACTTTAAAAAGAAACAAGATACTCAATATAGAATCATTAGTCAGCTATTAAAAATGTGAATATCACAATCACTGTATTCTCAAAATTCTTAGATTTATCAACCAAACTAAACGGTAGATACATCAGTAACTTATAGTGTGATTATTAGAATTGGCAAATGCTTTTACGGAAAATAATAATGTTTCACTTCAGATGTGAATACAATGATCGCTCATATGTCCTAGTGTAATGACTATTGACGTTATGACCAGTAAGGATAAGTTGTCTATTTACGGAAGACATAGTTTACTAGCAAAATGTGTAAACCTTTGTGGCTGCGTTGAACTGGAGGTAGGGTTCACGACTTTAGTGGTCGGTGAGCTGATTCTTTTATTTATGAATTTCGAGTATGTTATGAAATACATTTTCCCTTTGGTTCTCACTACATCATACTTGGTGCGACCCCGTTTGTTTCGAATTCGATTCGGTTAGATGAGCTCATTTAAAGCAATCGTTCATGAAGACAGACAAGAAAATATATGGCTTGGAAGCAAAGTGAAGCGAAGTAGAGAAAACCGGCTAGTCAACTCTACTTTGCTTCGCTTTGCTTTTCATTCTCGTCCGTTTGCTTAAATGAATGCATGAACGACTGCTTGAAATAAACTCATCCAACTGAATCCGTATTTGGCTTCTTGTAACCACTGTCGCACAAACAGGGAGATTTATTTTAGAGCACACTCGAACGGCCACCAAAAATGGTAAGGCCGACGACGAACATACCGCAGCCCACAACTCAATTACAAACTTCCATTTGCGAAACAAGGACATTATTGACTCTCATCTTTCATATATCTCCTGGTCTTCAAAACACTTTGATTGTACCAAACATTTGGATTAGATACTCTTTTCTTCAGCAGTAACTTCTGGACGACACACCGGGGCATTTTACTTATAAACCATGTTGTGGTTGTATCCATCAATACAAGTTTGTCTTGTTTGAACGTAAACTTTAAAAAGGAATTAATGTGGTTTTAGGTATACGACTGAAATATTTCACTAGTAGATCACATATATTTAGAAGACATTTGATTAAATACTACAGAGAAAGAAAATTACTTTCATACTGATAATGTAGTTTTTTTCAATGTATTCTAGTAAATACTTTATTTAAGTAGTATCTTTCAAGTCAACTTACGATTATCATCATCATCTAAATACCCACTTTAATTATTAGATCCTTAGGATATACTGTTATGTCAAAAAACATTCAATTAGTTATCGAAATATTAAGCGGTTGAAATTATGGTGTAAGAAAATCTCAACTGTGGTATTGTAATCGTCAGGACTAATCAGCAAGACATAGTTCTTGCCTTCATCCTGTATGAGGGATTTTGACTGGCGCCATCCAGCTGTACGATCTTGGTATTATAATGAAGCTAGTCCGATTTAAGCTGACGTGTCTAACTGTAGTGGTCGACCTTCTACCAGGAGACACACTTGGTGACTTGGAATATGCTTATGACAGTTCCGTTTGGTAAAGACGCTGACAAAAAGCAGCGTCTTCTGACTACCCTAAGCAAGCATGTTCGGGATATGGTGTTCCCCCTCGAAATGCAAAATGTTGCTTCAAGATTGGCTTGCTTCGGCACCTGAACTAGTGATAGAGAGTGAATTAGTTAAGCGTGTTGACTGCTTCACTTATCTCGATAGTCTCATCAGTGCTGATGGCCTGTTGAATGACGAAATCTCAGCACGGATACAGAAAGCTCGATTGGCTTTTGCCGACTTGCGTCACTTATGGCGCAGGTAAGATATCCGTTTGCTAACCAAAGGCCGAGTGTACTGCGCAGTAGTTCACTCCGTCCTACTATATGGATGCGAAACATGGCCGTTAAGAGTAGAGGACATTCGATCATAGGTGTCTCTGAAGCATTGCTTATATATCCTGGGACAACTGAGTAAGCAATGCTGTCGTTAGGGAACGAGTACTAGGAAGGGATGGCAGATCAATAGATGAAGTGGTAAAACTTCATCAGTTGAGGTGGTTGAGACATGTGTTACATATGCCTACCCACCGACTGCATCGATGAGCAGTATTATGGTGTAGGAATAGGTCGGAAGAAAGCTAGGGGCAGCCAAACGAAAACATGTCAGAAATCTCTGAAGTCACTGGCAAGTGGACTGAGTCTTGTTGGTTGGTGTAGACTACTAGGTTGGGGTAGAATGATATGACTCAAAATCGTTTGCGATGGCGCGGACAAACCCACTCTTTTTGTTCTCTCAAATCTTACTCTACTGAATTCTTCATCACCTATATCCTTCTCTTTCTAAGCATATTTCACAATATTATACTTCCTAAATAATATCTTTGAACACTAATCTTCTACATTACTGCTAATTCTTCTGCTACCTCTACCACTATCGGATATGAAATGACAACTGCATCTCTTTGCTAATCTGGTATGGTAACCTAAACTGATATACGTCTGTTTGAAGTTCTACGTAGTACCTGACTGACTAAATCAGGTTGTGTTGTGGGTACTATTTTTAGGAACTTAACGTAGTTATTCATCTAATCTTTGATATTATGTTGTTGTAGGTAATCTGCACTGCTAGATTCTGCTTCTAGTTAGTAATCTTAAGTAAGGCATGCATCCAGTCTAGAAAGAATGGATATCATCTTTATCATTCGAACTCAAATCATATAATCGGTAGTATTATCACTTTAGACAGTCATTTACGACGTAGAACTTCGTACGTACGTACATCAGTTCAGGCTGCCATACCGCATCAGTACAAAGACGCAACTGTCAGTTCGAATCTTACAGTAATAGAGATCGTAGAAGTATTAGTAATAATTGGAGAGATTAGGGTTCGAGGATATGATTCAAGAAGTATAATTCAGTGAAATAAACTTTAAAGAAAAAGATAAGGGTGATGAATTTAGAAGGTCAATATTTGAGAGAACACAATGAATCAATGCACCTGTGCCACTGCCATGTCGTTCAAGGTCGCTATTCATCGGTTACTTTCATCTCACGGACATCAACCAGATAGCCTACATTTATCAACATAAATCAGTTCACTTGTCAATGATTTCATGGACCTGTGCCATTTCTTGGCTTGGCCACCGCCATCTTTCTTCCAGCCCAGTCCTACAACACAAAACATCGCTTGTCTAACCAGTCGGTGGTTGAGCATACGTAACACATGTCCCAACCACCTCAACTGACGAATTTTCTATACATCACCTAATGATTTGCCATCCCTTTCTAGTACTCATCTCCTAACTATGGCGTTGCTTACTTGGTTGTCCCAGGATATTATCATTTCAGATTGTTATCGATTGTAGTGCCTCCACATATATTCGAGTTCGCTTACATTTAATTTGGTTAAACCCTTTCGATTAATTTATTTAACCAAGCCATTTGTATTGCAACAATCTATATGTACCATTCGTTCTTATTATAGTCTGGTTTGTATGAGTTAATATGACGTGTCCCACTTGTCATTTGACCTTGTCAACCATTCGTCGCTTTTATTCATGTGTGCCTATTTCGCTTGTCGCATGTTTGTCTTATATTTGTCTGACTATAAATTCTTAGTCATGCTCTATTTCTTTGAGTTGGCTCAACAGCCTTCTCCAGTTCACGTCTGTTCATTCATTTTATTTACAGCTTCTCCGCTTCGCTTTGTGGTGTGTCCCAAATAAACGTATTCATCACTTCGAGTTCACCTTCTGATTTATAAACCGTCAGATGCTAGTTAGTAACGATTGTCTGGACGAGCTAATTACCGAGCTTAAGAACACGCTGTAAATCGACACACTACACGATTTGCGAAATCCTACAGTGCATTTTATATTCTATATATATATATATCAACTTACTAAACAATTAGGCATTTTCATTTTAATTTTTCTTGACAGTCCAGTTATTGTCCCACCAGTACCAGTACCAACTACTAACATATCCAATTTGGTTTGTCCATTCTCGTCGATACAATCTTCAAGAATTTCTTCAGCTGTCTCATCAAAATGTGCTATTGGATTGTATGGATTGGTATATTGATTCATTATATGTGCATTTGGACCAATTTGATTTTTTAACTTTTCTGACACTAAAAACAATGAATCTGGATCGTCAAAATTTGCTGAAGCTGGTGTACGAACAATTTCTGCACCAAGGCATCTTAAGTAGGATTCCTTTAATGTTTACAAAAAAACGAAAGAAAATAGGATAATCAAAACTGGTTTATGAAAATCTTGATTAATTTGATTATTATTATTATTATTAAAACAAGAATATAGTTTATTGAATAAGCATACAGTCGATTTTATTGCGTGTGCGTTATGAGCAACAAATCGTTTATGAATATAATCAGATTTAAATGATAACAGTAAATTTATTCAAGTGATGTTCTTGGGGGACTGACCTAAAATAGAGAACTACTTAATACTATAGAGTATCTCGTAGATTTGAAATCATCAATCAATCACTGTTAGACCATCATTAGAAACCTGGAAGCACTCAACGGTCGTTCCGTCATGGTATGGGACTCATCGACAGCGCGCAACCACGACTCCTGTACCGCGTAGGATTTGAACCCTGGACCTTCGGTACTGTACGTGAACGCCTAGCCATTCGACCACTGAGCCTATATCCGACGGTGTTAATATCTAACTCTGATTGGTTTAGGGATTTTGCGCCGTCCACTGCTTCCAGGTTTCTAATGGTGGTCTAACAATGATTGATTGATGATGATTGTAAAAACAATAATCTCCATAACCCTAATATCTCGTAGATATTTCATCGAGTAATGACTTATCTTATGTAAGTTTTAGCTTTTAGAATTGACCAAATTCTATCAATCAAGTTGAAATTAAGTATCTTGATTGTGTAACTTAACGTCATCTGATTTTCGCCTTCATTTTAGGTCGCTTTCTATGCTCTACAAGGGAACCTTGAACCTGCGTTTTATTCTCGTTGATAGTTATTCGTGTACCTGTAATTTTGAGGGAACCAATGCTGAGATGGTGAAAATTTGTGGCTCATAGGGATGAGTGTGAAGGAGTTACATTCTCTGAGCTAGATGTTTTAATTGTGGAGATTTCAATCAGCAATCAACAAACACATCGACACTGATCCATTTTATTGACAAATCAGAAAAATGCTAGATGAATATTCGAACAAGAAATAGATCAAAAGAGCATACAATCAGAATAACGGTCTAGACAACGACAGGTCTAAGGTCAATAAGATCCCGGTAAACAGAGCAAGATTACAGTAATACGTATAAATTCAAATACTTCACGTCTTTTTGAAGTTTGAGTTGATGATACTGTTCAGAATAACAGTGGAAACTCCATAACCAAGACATCCAACTCAGAGAATGAAACTCCATTCAATCCAATGCTCTTTGAGGAGCATCACTTAGTTTTAAAGTTCTACATGAGTTCATCCAAGACTTCAAGAGTGTCTTACTAACGAATATCAAAGAGAACACAATCAAGCTCTAGTATTTGCTGCCAACTACTTTCAACCACCTTACATTGAAACGAAATTCAGCGGAATAGAGTCATTTAGACGAATGACCATATTAATTTGGGACTTCACAGCATTACGTATCCATGCCCTACACAATATTAAACCTACAATTGTTGAGCGCCTTGAGTAATAGGAAAAATTCAACCTACTAATATTAGATACCGTGTTTCATGTTATTAACTTCACTCCACTTGTGTAACAACACAATCTCCACTTAATAACATCGGGTAATCCAGTCTAGACTGTATTCATACTACAAGTAGTTGTAACTTTTCACTAAATGACTAAATTTTTTTTAAAGCGTTAAGATGTTTGTGACACATTTCTTTCATTAATTTAGTATGCAAAAGTTGTAGACATTTCATCTTAATACATACTAAAAACTTTTATTCTAAACCAATTAACATTTGCATATAAATAAGTATAAAACTCAGTTACAACTGTGAACAAGTTGATTTATATTCAAAACGTAAGCCAATTCTTTTTTTTTCAGAAAATCAATAATCAGTGTTTGTAATCATAAGAAAAAAAAGCTACTAATTAAAGATAATTTACCTTTTCAGTACTCATTTTATCTGACATGACAATAATACATCGATAACCTTTAATAGCAGATGTAAGTGCTAATCCAATGCCTATATTAAGCACAAATAAAAATAGTAAGAATAATAGTCAGTAATCAAATATCTACATATAGCATTACAACTACTTCAGTATTTGATATTGAAAATAATTAGGAAGCGTAGATTTTGGTTATGAATTGTATTGTGATGGATATTACTAGCAGTGTTGTTTGTAAGTAGTATGCAATGGAAAGTCATCAGCAGCAGTTACTATCTAAGGGAAGATTGTCAAATGAGAATCCGTGGTGCAATCGAAATGGTTTGAATACTACAAGATGTGTTCAAAATAGGATAGTCAATAATGTACTTGTTTTGCAAATGAAAGTGTGAAGATTGGTTGTATATAGTTTGTTAGGTGATTGTACTTTCTATAAATATACTACTATTTCGTCTAACCTAGAAATCTCCATTCATTACAGAATAACTGATATGTTAAATAGTTAGTTTTACTTAAAATGACAAGCTTATAACTGTAGCGGTGGGTAACCACAGTTATCAATACATTAGGGATGATGAGTTACTTCAAAACTTTCAATACACTTTGTTCACGAATGTTAACTACTCACAGATTTAAGACTAATGTTTTCTACCGACTGAGTTCGTTACAATCTAACGTCATTTAAAAATAATATAGTCAGTCATTTCAACCTCCATTTTTTTCTCGGTAGTAATGAAAGAATACTGACGGAATAATGAAACAATTGACAGTGTGCAGTGAATATTTATGTTATTTTAACTTAAACTCGAATAGATTATTTATGTCTAGTAATGGAGTTCACGACTGGTAATCATTGATCATCGAGTGAATAAAAGTACAACTATCAAAAAAGACGCGATTGAGAGTACATAAATAAGAACGAGTATTAGTAAATGAGACCAGAATTATTAATAAGATAACGATCAAACAGTGAAATAAAGTATCTTTCTCATAACATGGAATTAGGAAAAGTCAATTCAGTGCTGCTTCTCAGTCGATATTTATTCCGCATGCTAAATTAATTCCCTTCAGATAAAAGTTCGATAAGTTTATTCTTCTTTGAGGCAGTTGTTAGCTGACTTGAATTTCTTATTGATAAGCATACAACGTAGTGGCTTCCAGCGGAGGAATTAATCAGGAAGAAGAGGTGGAAGTGGATAGGACACACATTGCGCAAAGCACTCAACTGCGTCACAAAACAAGCCATCACTTGGAACCCTCAAGGTCAAGGGAAGAAAAAGAAGCTAAGAAACACATTACACTGAGAAATAGAGAAATATATGAGAAGAATGAACAAAAATTGGACAGAACTGGAAAGGGCAGCTCAGGGTAGAGTAGGCTGGAGAATAATGCTCGGCGGTCTATCCTTATTGGGGATAACAGACGTGCGTAAGTAACATAAGTAGTACAACCTATTCCTATTGCGAATTGCATTTTTCATAAAACTTTACATAGGAAGTAATGCTTAAAAACATAAGTCATTTAAAGTAAGCATTGATTTGAATGCCTTTTACGCGTTTTTAATACAGACTAGAAAAATCAATATTTTAAGGATACACAACACAGTGTTGCAATTTTTATATTTGTACATGATGGAACATTCGCCTTTAACTTTTCTCCACAATTAATCAACCTTTTCTTCCCGAGTTACAATTCTCATGTCTTTCGACCTTGTCTGTTATTCGCTCATATCTTGGTTGTTTTTATTTGAGTATGTATGTGCCGGTCACTTCACTTATTGCATATTTGGCTTATTTTTGTCTGATTATAAATTACATTGAGTAAGTTCACTCGCCTTCTGCATTTCACTTCGCTTTGCTTCAATGCTTTGTATCCTCATCTGTCTGCTTAAATGAATGCATGAACGATTACTTGAATAAAACTTATCCAACCGAATCCGCATTTGGCATCTTACTACCGCCGTCGCACAAACGTGATTCGCTTAAATATGATCTACGGAAACTGAAGAGCAGATTTGTTTCATCGCATACTCGGTCATTGGTAAACTTCGGATTTAACACAGCTACTAAAAGATTTTTTGACGATCGTCCTTTTCCTCACGCCCTGCTTAACTTTGAATCTCTAAGACTTCCACGTCGTGTTAATTTAAAAACAGTAATAATAATTACTTAAATTATCTAACAAAATACCCAAAAAATAAAATAACTTTTTATATTTCACAAAAATAAAATATCAAACATACCAGTATTTCCTGAAGTTGGTTCAATTATTGTATCACCATGTTTCAATTTACCTTCACGTTCAGCTTCTTCAATCATACGTTTTCCTATTCTATCTTTAACACTACCTCCAATATTAAGAAATTCACATTTTCCTACTAATAAAAATTAATTTTTCTAGTTATAAAGTTTAACTTACAAAGTTCACATTCTAAATTTTCTTGTTTAGCAATTCGATCAAGTCGAATCAGTGGGGTATTACCAATTAATTCTAATGCATTATTGACAATTTTATTTCGTTTTGAACTAAATGAATCAAGGAATGAATGAATGATTATCATAAGGAAACATACATTGAAATATGATGATGAACACTTTCAGTGATTGATCGATCCAAACTAAATGTACATTTACTTGGTAAATCTGGTCGTTTCCAATCTTGATTCATAATGCTTTTGAGATAAGAGAAAATTACAGTGAACAATTGATGAAAAGCGAAATAATCGATAAATGAAAAAATGAAAGAAAAATAAGAAGATGAAGTTGAATTAATTTCAGCAGATATGGATATTGAAATCTTGAATAATCCTTAAATAAAACTTTCTATTCATTCAAACCTCATATTGTTTTCTCAAGCTGGCCTACTATTCTTGGATATTTTAGATTACATTGGTATGCTTATGCACTTTTATCTGCTCCTGTTGGGGTACGTTACATTGATTGCAAAAAATCCATCACTCTCTAAATATATCATAGAACATTACACAATGTGGCTTTTAAAAAGCAAGTGCTAAACTATCACTAGAGCATATGATCAATTCTGGACTTGCTGTTCCTAACGAGTTGTCCTTTAAGTAATATACATAGTCAAAAGAAGTGCATTAAATGGAGTTTGGATCAAAAACTTAAACAAAGCTGATGATATTTTCAGTTAAAATTTTGGAGATTTGTGTTTTTACACATTTCTAATCATCAATCAATCATTGTTAGACTATCATTAGAAACCTGGGAGCACTGGATGGCCGTTTCGTCCTGGTATGGGAAATTCTCCGAGTTCTAGTTGAGAAGACGTGACCAATGGAGTTCAACCCTGTCAGATGTAGGCAGTAACTACCAAAGACAAATGGGTAAGGTCGCGCGAAATCCCTAGGTCAATCAGAGTTAGACATTAACACTGTTGGATGCCGGCCAAGTGGTCCTAATGTTGGGGAGTTCGCGCACAAGCCAAAGATCAAAGCGAGGTGCAGGAGTCGTGGATGCGCACTGCTGATGAGTCCCATACCAGGACGAAACGGCCATCCAGTGCTTCCAGGTTTCTGACGGTGGTCTAGCAATGATTGACTGGTGATTTCAAATGTGTACAAAGCTGATGCCCTGGCAATCCACCAGATCAAGCATAAAGTTTGCTTGCTGAAAGGATTTGTTCAATCTCTCATCCTTCTCTAACCCTTATAGGTCAGTCAGTCAATTACAACGTAGAACTTGGTACATGAGTAGACAAGTTCAGGTTGTTATACCGCATTAGCACGGAGGTGCAACTGCCAGTTCAAATCCCATAGTACTAGAGATAGCAGAAGCATTAGCGGTAATAGAGAAGACTTAGGGTTCGAGGATGTGATTTGAAAAGTATAATTCAGAGAGATAACTTGAGAAAAATAAAAACAGAGATGATGAGGAATTCAGAAGGTTGTATTTGAGAAAACGCGATGAATGAATGCACCTGCGCCATTGCACACGATTTTGAGCCATGTAGTTCAAGGTGTCTAACCATCGGTTAGTATCGTCTCATGGGCCACAACCAGGTAGCCTACATCTATCAACATGACTCAGTCCACTTGTTAGTGACTGCATGGATTTGTGCCATGTTTTGGTTTGTCCGGCACCCCTTTCTAACCTTTATCCTCGTCTAGAGAATGTTAATAAATTTCTTTTTAATTATTATTTACACTTATAACACATAATCAGTTATAATCAACCTCAGTCAATTGTTATGAATATTATTTATTGGTTATCATGATCTTAGCGTTTGTTATTTTTTTTCTTATCTGTCGAATGAACAATTACCTCTTACATATCTAACCTCACGGCATTAGCAACCCTATCTTGTAGAAATTCAACTAGCTAAAAATACGCTAAACAAAAGAGGAGATAATTCACTGGTTTGCGGTTTATTCTCCATTCGGTGTAACAGGCGTAACTAAGTATCAATTGATTAATTATGGACAACACATAGTGTGATATATATATATATATGTACTGGCCAATATTGTTTACATTATATTCATAAAACGAGATTAAATTATCAATGTAGATGTATTAATACTATTAATAGAGACAATAACCATATAAATAGTGGTAATAGAAACGATCAAACATCGACAGTATATTCATTATGATCGATTTTGAGCCTTGTCGTAGAAGCAACTCTCATCAACGTCAACTAAGTAATTCTCATTCAAGTAATGTAGATTTTTGTTTGTTACCGAAATCATGAATTAAACATTGTTGGACCACTACCACTGGACGGTTGTGACCGATGGAGTTCAACCCTGTCAGGTATAAGAAGTAACTGCTGAAGACAATGGATGAGATTGCACAAAATCCTTAGATCGATCAAAATTAGACATTAAGGTCATTTGATCCTGGCTCCACCAGTTAAGCGTTTACGCGTTAGACCGAAGGTCCTAGGTTTGAATCCTGCGAGTAGGTGGAGTCATGAATGCGCACGGAACGCCTATCCAGTGCTTCCAGGTTTCTAATGGTGGTCTGACAATGACTGATTCACGAATTCATTCATAAACAAGTTTTTTTTTGAGTTAATGTAATGTAGTGGTTACATTATCCTCGTACAGTAAAACTGAAATTTTACTATTAATTGTAGAGTGGCATATCTAACTGATAGGTAACACTTAAAATCCAGGTTATTATTGTAGTCATTTCGATCATTATGTTTAAAGGTTGATGTCTCATTAATTTATAAAATTAAATTATGATAGGACAATAGGAAGACGGAGTTGATTCTAAAATTGTGATGCACTTCCGCTATAAATTTCGAATAACCTAGAAATGTATAGAACAAATATATCACCTTTTTTCTCAGATCAACTCCATCCTCTCATTGTTCTGTCAAAATTTATGAAAGTGACTAACTACTTTAAATATAATGAAATTACGTTGAAATTAATGTTATAGTAGACTGATCAGAAGTGACCCAATGAGAAAACTATTTGATTGCCAACCAGAAGATATCCTGACGAATGAATACATATCATTGGTCAAGAATTGGCTTCCTTTCCAAGGGAAATGGGATATATATATATATAAGAGTATTTATACATATTATTCAGTAGCCAAATGGACTTCCTCTTCTGATTTTGCCTGCTCACTTAAGTAGTCGTCCATTTGGGTTGTTTTCAACTCGCATCATGATCGTATCTCGAGACAACTCATATATCATAACAGAAATATTATTGAATAAAACATTTTCATATATATTTTGATAATTAAGTAATAAATTACATAAACAAATCGAAACAAAATGAAATGATCTTACTTACATTAATTGTTTGTTCTTTTATATAACTCTGTGATTTTGACACAAATGATATTATACCTAATAGAGAATCCAATTTCATAAAAATATATATATATATACATATATTTGCAGTTCAACTTATGACTTCAAATATACGCCTAAGTTCAATAGGTTATAAGTGATTGGTCGATTAGGTTGTTTAGTTGATAGACCAATAAAAAAATGTCTATTAACTAATAAATAGTTGTTATAATTATCATCATAGGGAAATAAAGGAAACTGAGTTATTATGCTACATTTGTTTGTTTACAATAATGATTTATTATGAAAGAGATTTATCAGTGAACTAGTTTTAAAACTAAATATATCAACCAATACAGAGTGATGTTGATCATTTTCAAGTTTTACAAAAAGATTCAAATTAGTTGAACCTTGAAATAGGAATTTGTTAGAAAGTGTTGGGGATGTTAGATCCCCAAAACTCGCTTGATAAATGCCTTATTTCGGATTTCACGTCTGCGAGCACTGGGTTATCAGTTGACCTTGAGATTTCATTTCCCACCAGGAAAATCCTTGGCTGTGATTGGCTGCTGTGTATTTTAGTGACTGTCCCAAGGACGTTTTTATGATGTATAAATAAACGAGGGATGTGTGCTTTATTGTATTTTGTTTTCTGGGTGTTTGTAGAATATACTTTCTACGCTTACCAAGTCTTCTGTTTTGCAGTTGGGTCTTCAAGGTAGCCTACCTGAACGCTAGTAATTGTCTCGTTCGCGTTTATCGACTAAGGTGAACTCGTAATAGCTTCAAGAGTACCAAGTGACGAACATAAAAAAAAGATTACTATTCTTTTAATTTGTATATCTACGCACTTATATCAGCCTATGCTCTTACCTGTTTGATTCATTCAAACATTGACTGATGCCGCATTCTCTCATATATATATATATATATATATATATATATATATATATAAACAATATTTATTAACTGGCTCTGTGCCCTGTCTGCTATTTAGATTAATTGAATAGAAGATTGTAGATAGACTCTGGCTAATATACTTCATTTCCGCTTCTGAATATCTTACACCATTGACAAATTAAAACTCCGCCTTGGAGTCCTTTGAAGCCTAAAGCTAGTTCCAAGTCTGATTAAGGAAGAAGGGTTGGGTTGGTGAACTCATCCCGTAGAAATCCAACTCACTAAAAAAACACTAACTCGAAAAATACTTCACTGTTTGGCGGCCTACGCTCTATTAGGGTTTATAGGCATTAGTAAGTAAGTTGACAAATCGACTTAAGGATGGCTATTTAATTGACATGTACATGTAGTCAAGATGGTAATGCAACTATCTGTAATTCGGTAATCATATTTAGAGTCTTTTCGTTTGTATCTATTCGGTACAAACGTCAGGAATTCTAAATGACACTAACAATGTTGAAAGTTCAAAACTAATCAATAATTTAAAAAAGCCGCTGGAAATTTGAAAGTACATTAAAAAAACCACAATACGATATTAAATGCTTGTAATAATTTATCATTGTACTATCATTCTTGACATTTGTGTGGAAAATTCGGAATTTGGTGTTTGTTAATAGTTGTTTTGAGTTCCAGATGTTGATAGGTTGTAAAAATGCAGCAGTGGCTTTGCCGATGCGTGCCTTCACATCTGCATTGGATCCTTCTTCCTCGTCAATGATGCTGCACAGATATGTAGAAGTGTTTACTTCATTCAAAGCGCGCGTGTTATGTTGTATCGGAGCAACTTGTTTTGTGCCTTGTGTATGGTGAGACCTATGGCTGCTGAGGCTGCTGCTACACTGGTATTGAATTGAATTCAAGCTTAAAGTATACAGTACAAACAGGGTCCTTGAAAGAGTTGCAGAATAAGGCACTAAAAGAGATAACCAATA